CCATCCATCCATCCATCCATCCATCCATCCATCCATCCATCATCATTTAATTGGCTCATTCTCTGTCTTTTTCAATGTGCAGAATCTTTTCCTCCACCACCTTCTGCTCAGCCATTGTGTTCTTGGGAAAGACACTTTATCACAATTTCCTACTGATGGTGTCCAAAGGTTGAAAGCTGTAGCTACAGGTTAGCTCACTGTCACCACTGTGTGACAGTGTGAATGATTGAATTCAGTATAAAGTCCTTTGGAGTCCCTATAGGCTCTATAATATCAGGCCATTTACTAAAAGAGAGTCTTTATTGTTGATGACTTCACATACATGCACAAATTAGATTAATAAGACTTACAATTAATAGCTTTAGGAAGTTGCTAACTAACCAAACATGCATTGTTTAGGCTGTGAGTAAAAACTGAAATAGCCTGCATACTTCTAGCATAGGATCAACAACGCTAACAATTGAGCCTCCTTAATGCCAAATTGCAATCATGGTACACAAAGCTGAGAGGACCAATTCAACTTTTAATACGTACAGGGTCACCTCTGATTCCCCTTTGACCTATGTCGCCTGTTTTTCCTTTCGCTCCTTTGGGACCCTATAAACAGACAGACACAAGGCCAAGGCATTTCTTTTTAATACATTTAAAAAAAAAACTAATCTGTAGAAAACGCTTTAAGTGATTAAAGTTTCTTACTCTCCCTCCAGGGTTTCCTCTGTCACCCGGAGGCCCAGCGATTCCACTTAGCCCCTGCGAGGATGTTAAAAAAGCCAGTTAGATCAAAATAACAGAGTAAAATGAAAACATGATTTTATATTTTCAATATATAAGAAAAACTTACTTCTTCCCCGTTAATGCCATCAAGTCCAATTTCTCCCATTTCACCCTAAAAAAGCACTAGCAGTTTAAGCAAGATATAACATGACATGTTAATTATTGTTCATTAAAACTACACTCACCTTTTCTCCAGAGAGGCCACGAGAGCCCTAAAAAGAAAATATGTACGGTAGTTAGAAATGATGTTATTGTTTTATTTTAGCTTTACAGATCAAAGCTATGTCAATATATAAATAAATGTTACCTTGACTCCTCTCTGTCCAGGACATCCCTGGAAACCCTGAGTCCCATTAACACCAGGTGGACCTCTTTCTCCCTGTAATCACATAAAATAAATGCCGTAAAGCAGGAAAAAAAATGGAAAAGATCCTTCATGGCTGTGCTAGGCGTTCGGACTCACTGGTCCACCCTCGTCTCCAGGATGTCCTTGGCTCCCTGGGAATCCTGGACTACCCTAAAGGACAGATCAATCAAGATATCAGTTTTCCTGTGGTGCCTAGAAGAAAAAAAATATGTTCAATAAATGGTACCTTAATCCCTGGCATCCCAACTGCCCCTCGATCTCCCCTGTTCCCAGTACATTTACATGGAACGCCACAGCATTCACGCTCCGCAATGTTGTCCTAACAAGAAAATAAGGCATTCCTTAAGTGTTTCAAGAATGATTAATCCTCAAAAAAGATGTTCGATTTGTATCTGTACCCACCAGTTCCTCAAAAAGCTCATACTCTAGGTCCATGACATTGAGTCTTAGGGGTCTTGTGTACCTAAAGCCACGACCGTATTCCAAAAGTAAAGCCTCCTCAAACCGTTCTGCTCGTTCCAGCCCAACCACGATGAAGCTGTTGACTATGCAGATGTTGAGAATCAACTTTACTCAGATATATAAACTCCTGAATTTGATATTGCAGATACATAAAAGATGCTTGAAGGTAGTGAAGTTTTCCCTGTTAGATCTTTGTACCTGACTGACGAAGCTCTTCAACTTGTCTTTTTACTTCAGAGTATGGAGCATCAAGGCCGTCAGTCAGATGAATGATTACCTTTAGTTTGAGAGTCGAAACAAAGAGCAGTTTGTGACTGTTTAGCATTTCTGCAAGTACTCTTCAGCTGTTTGAATGACCAACCTTTATGTTGCTACCCTGTCTGAACCGGTTCTTATAGGCGACGATGGTCTGAGCGTTGAGGACGAAGGGGCCCCGACTCTGCAGACCTTTGAAGGCCTCAAACAGCTCCTTTGGATTGTCTGTAAAGTCGATCTGGACAGGCTCAGAGGCAGAATCCATGGCCAGCATACCGATTTGGATGGATGGACTCTGGCCTCCCGAGCAACTGATTGGTGCCATTTTTGAAATTATTTGCAGAATGGCTTCCATCTTTTTCTCAAGGTTGTTTTGAGTTCTGAAGATGTTCTGGCCAGACACATCGAAGCCGACTAACACCTCAACATCGCAAGCTGTAAAACAGCATTTTTGTTATCAAGACATTCTGAAAAACCATAGATTATTAAAAACATAACTCTAAAATTTAACACACATTTCAGATGAACAATTTCAGCTGTAATGTTAATAATGATCAAAACGAATTGTCTTACCTGTTACCAGTGTTTGGGAATCAGTACAACCATCCCCCTTGACTTCATCATCTAATGTCTGCAGGATTTGCTCCAGGAGCTGTGATAAGTCCTCGAAGTCCTGTCCTCGGAACGTGGTGGAAGTTCGACTTGCCATGTTCTCCAGCTCCTCTTGAATGTCTCCAGTCCCTAAAGCAAAGACTTTCACACCTTTGCTTTTCAGACCCAGTGCTGCTGTCTTCCCATCATCACTTGAGCGACCTCCAGTGATGAGCATGAGGATCTGAGGGATGCCTTCATCCATCCTACTGCCTTTCTGCCTGGTGAAATGGATATCCTGAACATGGCGAATGGCTGCACCAGTATTGATTCTACGTCCACCTTTGTATTCTATGCTGCCAATGGCCTCCACAACTTCCTCCCTGTCCTTGAAGGTGTTGAAGTAGAAGGCATCAGTCACATCCGTGGAATACTGTGCGAGTGCAATTCGTAGGTCGTCTGTTTCACCGAAGAATGAATCAACCAAAGTCATAATAAAGTCCCTAACTATCTTGAAGTTTTCTAGGCCAAGGTTGATGGATCCATCCATTAGGAACACTATATCAGCCTTTTTGGGTCCTGGCACATCTTCGAAAAAACAAGGAAAATAATTTTACTATAACAAAACTGTGTAAGAACTAAAAAAAACTTACACCACAACTGGAAAATTAGACAAAGCAGGGATTGCATCAGCATCTTTGTTGCTGTCTTTTGAATTTCTGCCTATTTGGACTCAAAAAAACAGAATGATAATATTAAACTTGTGGGTTGCCTGTGTAAATTCTCAGTCATCTGTTAACTAGTAAAATTGGAAGGCAATTGGACTTTCACTAAGCTTTTTGAAGATGTCTCCACAGCTGTCCAGGAGTCTTTGTTATTCTGTTGGCTCCACCAGAGCAATTTGTAGTTGGAGTGCTGATGTAATTGAGCAGGTTTGAGGTTCATACTCCTCAGTATAGTCCAAGTCAGATTCAAATCAAATAACCACAGGTGGCATGGGTTGTGTGATTGGTCTTTTTAATGATGATGGGAGGGCTTATATTTCTCCGGAATGAGTTTTATGACTGAACTGTAAATACTTGGAAGCTGAAACCTCAATCCTCTGTGATGGCCTTTCTATTTTCTCTAAGATGGCTTCATCTTTTTACTATTATTATTTTTATTTTCAGTATTATTAATAATTTATATGTTGCTATCTGAGATCAATTTAATCCCATCCAAATGAAGTGACTGACTAATCAGCTTCTATTTTAAAGACTGCAAAGACTAGAGTAAAGAGAATTCGTCCTAGAATTATTCCTTTGGTACTCCACAGGTAACCCTGGAGCATGAGGAAAATTCATCATTAACTTGATAAATTAACATGATAAATTACTAAAAGTGGTTAGAGGGGACAGGGTTTGGAGAAAACACTGTAATTTCTTCACATTTAATGTCATATGTCAGCACAAGGTCCAAAGTATGAATACTAGAATGTGTTGGACTGTTCACTTTTGAACATTTTCAAACAGTAACTTTTGATTGTCTCTGTTAAGTGCCCTCAGATGACATGTGTTGTGAATTTGCTGACAAACAAAACAACAAGGGATGCTAGAATTGATAAAAACAAATTGCAATGCATTTAGATAAAGAGGAATTCCATCTGCTAGAGATAATTAGGCTTGATGATTTAGAATTTGTGCATGCAGTATTTTAGGCCCTGTTTTTATTTTATGTTAGCTACGCTAAATAGACACCACCCCAAGACTTAAACAAGTCTCAAATAGCACACAATCATGTAACCCCCACTCCCCCCCCACCAAACAATTATATTCAGATAAACATATTAAGGCACATTATCTGAAATCGACATAACTTACTATTATATTCAGTGTCAGAGTCGTCTGGTTCATCTACCACTGCCATCCCTGTCAGTCTGGAAACAACCTTTGTTTTTGCAGTTGGCAAATTTGGGAATGACAGTACAGTAACAACATCTTCTGAAGATGAGGCGATTTCACCAAGTTGACTTCTGTCAGCATTCATAGTCCCAACTCCAATGCAGTTCACTCGTCTTTTCTTCAACAGAGGTCCAAAGAGAGAAACTGACTGGCTGGACTTTTCACCTGTGAGAACCACAAGATGCTGGGAGGCCTCTGATAGACGAACGCCAGCTGATGGTTTTACTTCCCTCTCCAAGACATAATCAATGGCACTGGCCAGGTTTGAGGAACGTCCACCAAGCTGACGAAGGCGTTTGATAGCAGACAACACATCTTGCTTGCTGCTGTGTGTCCGAAGTGAGAACTCTGTTTGGGTTCTGTCTGAATACTGGACAACAGCAATGCGAACTTTTTCAGGCTGCACATCAAGTTGTTGGACAATGCTGATGATAAAGTCCCGAATATAGGCAATGCCATCAGGACCTGTGCTGTCTGAACCATCAACAAGGAAAATGATATCCTTCTTCCCAATATCCAGTAGCTCTGAAATATTAACAGAGATATTGAAATAGTACAATCAAAAATTGTTCTAGTACGTACCTATTAATCAAATACACCTTATGTTCCGTTACTACATTTTATAAAAATGTCTCTTACCTTCTTGTACTGGAACACCTCTTGTGATGTCAGTGGTGGTTATTGTTCGGACAGAATTAATGAGCTGGGGTTCCACTCTTGGTAGTTGTTGGAAACTGTCAACAGAGTACACAAGCTCTGGCCTTAGGGAAATCTGTCGCAGCTCATCTAAATCTGCATTTCTTGAACCAATGGCAACAGGTGCAACCAGATTTCTCTTAAGCTGGTTAGCATGTGTGGATACGTCATCTGAAGACTTCCCGCCTGTAACCAGAATAAGGAACTGAGGCACACCTTCCTCAACACGACTTCCAGCAGATCTCTGGTAGATGTTCCTGGCAACCCACTCAAGGGCACGCCCCGTGTTCAGACGACTTCCAGCCATGCTTCTGAGCTTTGACACAGCCTGGTCCACTTCCCTTTTGGTGGAGTACTCATTAAGAAGGAATTCTAGTTTCGTATCATCGCTGTACTGCACCACTGAAACTCTGACCCTATCAAGTCCTACATCCAGCTGGCTCACGACTCTTCTTATCATTTCACGAACGGATGGAAATTCACTACGTGTTGCGATACTACCATCGATGAGAAATACAACGTCTCTTTTATCCCCGTCTCCCCGTGGTGATGGTGGTGGTGGTGGTGGCACTACTGTTAAAATACAATCAGAGAATTTTGTTGAGATGAATGATCACATAATTAAGGACAACAATAGAGAAGACAACATGTAGAAACACAAATCTCCTAATATGTTGATCAGTGGGGAGGCAAATGCCTTGAAAGTATTACTGTTGCATTTGTGCAGTCTAAGCTCACAGTTAGCACAGTGAAATAATTAAACTTCCTGCATGATTTGTTTCCAAATGATTCTCTGCACTGACTCTAAATATCTATGTTTAATTAACAGTAATCTTTTGCCAGATTTTAGATGTTTTTCATATTACTGGTCTGCACTGTTTGCTGTTTCCAAGTCAGAAACAGGAAACACATTTAGAATAAACACCTCTGGCTAAGGACATTTAGCACTGTAGGTTTAAACTCTAGACACTGGTTTAAACTGGAAAGTCTTTAACTTTGTATCTAAGCTGCCCAAAACCACTTAACCACAGAAGGTAATCTTGATGCTTAATCACCATAAAGCTGCACACATGACAGGTTCATGATATATCCCTGCTGACTCTTCACCTATTAAGTAAAAGGTTCTGCTTTTGAAGTGAAATAGCTGCTCATTCAAAATGAAGGTAGTAGGCTGAGTTGGTCCCAACTCTAAGATGGGATTCTCACCCTGTTACTGGTCAGCCACCCATTCTTGAATACATTGAGGGGCTCAAAACTTGCTATACCATCTGGGGATGTTTTAGCAGTAATATAAAAGCACTAAAGGATGTTGTAATCGTTTTAAAAAAGTATGTTGGTAATCTTTTTTATATATAGCAAGTTTATAGGTGAATACCTACACAGAGCTTTGCAGAAGATAACATTTTGGATAAATTACCTTCAGTTGGGATTTCAGGCCTCAATGCTGCAATCTCTTCATCTGATAATGTTGTTAGTGTTTCACGGACGCTTTCTTCAGCTGTGTACAGGCCAGGGAGGTCATCAACAGTGAAAGAATATCTTGGGATGTATGACACCATACGTAGCTCTGTGGGGTCGATCTCCCTGGTACCAATGCTTAACGGGATAACTCCAGATGTTTTGAGAGAATTGGCTTCAAGCCTGACATTATCTGTTGAAGGCCTGCTGGACACAACAACGGCAAACTGTGGTACACCTTCTTGCTTCCTGCTTCCTTGTGCTGGTATCATAACACTGTTCCTGAGAAACTTCAGGGCTTGGCCCAGGTTACGCTGTCTTCCTCCAAGCTGTCTCATTTCCCTGATGCCGTTCAGTACACCTTCTTTTGTGTTGTATGTATTGAGATACATGTCAGCCTGGGAAGAGTCACCATACTGGACCACACCAATTCGGACTTTGTTTTCTCCCACATCAAGGCTCTCCACCAACCTACGGATGAACTCTTGGATGATGGCGAATTCTCGTCCAACACTATCGGATCCATCAACAAGAAAAACAATGTCTCTCCGAGGGCCTTCAGAAAGACAAAAAAATAAAAGGACAATGTTATAATCCACATTCAAAATGACCTTAACAGCCTAGAGAGCAGTAGAACTGGTTTCATTGGTATGGGCTTGACCCAGGTCTATATGTAGCCAGATTACAGTCAATCTGGCTTTTAATAGAGGTTGGGTGCTCACAATCTTTTTCTTCTAATGCATCTATTCATGTCAGCAGCTGAAAGATGCCCAGTTGAATTATTGTGCCAATGAAAGAAACTCTGGTCAACAATAAAACATTTGGCTATTTTTACTTGTAAGAAAAACCTTGATGGAGTTTGAGTACAGTGTGAAAGGAACATCCTAGATTCCTGATCACAAAAACAGGAAAGAAACTTTCACTGTAGAAATAATTAATCTTTCTATCCTGGCTTCGTCATTTCAATAAAACTGTACTGCTGCACTCAACAACACAACACAAAATAACAATCACATTGCTTTTCTATAGCAGATATGGCCATCATTAATATCAGTCTTAATAAAGAAGCAAAGTTCCTGCTCAAAAGAGGGGAAGTAAGCAAATGTTGATATGTGCATAGCATATAAGGGTTTCTGTGATAGACTTTGTAATTATCTGCAGTAAAGGCCTCTGCTTCCAATTGCAAAGTTGGAGACTAAACAAATATTCCCCTCATTTCCATCCCTACATATGTTTGATTTTAGCAGGCAACTGCTTTGGACACCAAATGTATATGTTTGATAACATACCATGTACAGTTGGTGATTCAAGAGTAGCGACAAAAACCATGGATTCCACAGAGGTCTGAAGTTCTTGTTGGACACTGGGAAGGTCAGTAAACTCGGACACATAAAAAGTATAGTTGGGAGCGTAGGATACTTTTTCTAATTCTCTGCTATTAGAGCGTCTGCTTCCAATTGCAAAGATCAAGACGCCCATCTGTTTGAGAGCAGCCACTGGTGCGTCGACACTGTCTGAAGATCGTCCACCACTTAGAAATATAAGGACCTGAGGAACTCCCTCCGACTGCCTGCTTCCTGCAGAGGCAGTGAAGACGTTATCCCGCAAGTACTGGAGAGCTGCTCCAGTGTTAAGGGGTCTTCCACCTTTGTGCCTCAAACCCCTGACGGCATCAAGGATCTGGCCTTTAGTCATGTAGGTGTTCAAATAGAAGTGGACAGCTTGATCCCTGCTGTACTGAACCACTGACACACGGTCTTTGTTGTCATCCACACTAAGAGTTTCTACTACTCTTTGGACAAAATCTCGCATAGCTGGGAAGCCAGATCTTGTGCCGTCAGATCCATCCAGCAAGAACACCACATCTCTTCCTGTATGCTGCCTCACCACTAGGGGACATAAGAATTGGGACATTTTTAGGCTCAAGCAGCAAATGATTCACAAGTTCAATTCAGATATTT